ATGTATGTATGCATGTATGTATATTACATCTGAATATGTATATTATATATATATATATATATATATATATATATATATATATATATATATATATATATATATATATATACGTCCTTATAATGCAAATTATACCTGTCAGGTTGGGGAGATTGGGGAAGGCGTTATATCTATATATAATGAGTTATATCTATATATAATGCTACATAAATACGCATCCGAGGGTGTGTACGTGCTTGTGTAGAGCGCTCTAGCCGCAGCCTTTCACCAGCAAGGCGCCACAGAGCCACGGGTCAGTCAGTCCAGAGGGCGAGCGCGCACCTTGGGCCAAGGAAGCAGCTTAGAATAAGGACCGCAGCAAACAGGTTCCTCGGAGCGGGTGTTCGCCGGCCAACGTCCCAATAACGGGATGCCGGGCGCTGGCACCGTGCCAATCACACAAGCGTCAACAGTCAATATTCAGACAACCGTGTAAGTGCCATTATCCTTCACCCGAGGCACTGGATGGTAATTGATTGATGAACTGTTATTGACATTATCGGTTCTAAACAAACTTGTTTTGCAGAGAATGGACGGTTTAGACAAAAGTTTTCTCATTCCAACTATATGATATTAATGAGCAAAAGTTTTGCCATATTTACCATAAGTTTATTCAATAATATCTATTTAGACTGTACATTACCGTATACATTCACAACTCCAACACACGTGTTGCTGTAGAGGTGCAGAATTGTAATCTACGGTGAATACACGTAAAGTTTGACTTACTTTAGGAAGACCTTCGGTTTTGAGAACTGGCTCTCTTTATGAATCTTCCAATAACGCTTCTGAACTACTTTGATAAACTCACACTCACACACATGCACATACACGCACACATACATACACAAACAGTCCACTGTTTATGCTTTACATGGACGAGGCATTTCGACCACGTGATACAGTTTTTCTCTCTACTTACAACAAATTCTACGACGATTTCTTTTTGTAGAGCATATTGTGTAACAAGACTATACTGCTATTTATCACATTGATGTATACAATGCAAACGCCCATGAAACAAAATAAAGCTAAAATACTTCCGTTAATGCATCATTTCACAATGCAGCATGCACATGCATTATTTTTTCCCCATAAAGCGAGTTTAAATCCCAGACATCACTAGGAGGCCTCCCCACCCAAATGCAGTGCGATGAGAGGTCGGCCGTGAGGGCCGGTAATCACTCTCACTTGGGTCACGAATTCTCTCTCGGCGATGTGGAGGGATAGTAGTGCCTGGTGAAGAATCTTTCCTACCATTCAGTCCAGTGGCAGTAATACACTTGTTGCAACCGAGATACAGATGACCATGTCCGTTTCTGCGTGTAGTTGTTAAAGATATTGCAAATGAACGATAAAGACTAATAACGTGGCATCTAATTCCTTGATGCATACTATGGGAATATCCAAGCTGAGATATGCTGCAAGTTTAAAGAAAGAGGAAAATAAGTCAGTATACAGAATGGCAACCTTCTCTGGCAGAGCTGGCGTTTAGCGGGTTGGACGTAAGCAGACGAACCAGTGGTGAGGCGGCAGCCGTTGTGTGAGGACGGCAGGCGCTTGCTCTGGAGTGGCCAGTCGCGTCCCACCACCAGACGCCTCACAACGTTGCTCGCGCCTTTTCTGGTGTCGATCTGATTACCTGGCGTGTACTGTGTACATTTCCAGAAGTGAGCAAGTAATGTTCATTCGATTGTTATTACTCACCAGATGCACTGAAAAGCAGTTTTATTTATTACTATATTTATATGTCCATGTATTAAATCCAGAAACAAAGTCATCTACAGAAATAAGCTTGCCTTCCCCTGCGCCATGGACAGAAACAAGTGCATCACAAAAACAAGGGGTTTAGAGAGCGATGCCAAAGACAACTTATAAAGTGGTCTACCTGCCTTCCCACTGACAGGCGCTCAAAGCATGGCACTTAATTTCCAGCAACGTAACTAACAGATATTTTTTTCTCGAAAGACTGATATAATCTTTCAGGATTGATGCTGAACTGTATGAAATTTTCTGTGAAATTCTGGATATCAATCTATGTACAGTCTCATCACCAAGTACATGTGTAATGATATGTCAGATATGTTAAAACACAGGAACTAAAGTATATAACAGCAAGTTAGACGATCGGTGATGTGTTTGAGAAAACAACGACAAAATTCAGCATATATATTATAAATCGCGATTTATACGAAAAGGTGAGACATGATTTTGAGATTTACAGCAGCAGCTTTAGTAACCACCAATTGGTTGGAATTTCCGCTTTCTACATCCACTCCCTGAAGCTTATATAATGCTAGCCGTAAACTTTATTTTCAAAGGTCGTACCGGTCTTTCTCTTGGTTGCATATCCTCATTAAGCTTACTTTTACATGAAATATAAAGAGATTGACCGACACGCAACACCCTCACATAAACACAGACGCGCAAGCGCTTACTCACTCAAACACGCAAACACACTCACACAGATACTCACTCACTCACTCACTCACCCAACACACACACACACACACACCACACCACACACCACACACCACACACACACACACACACACATACACACACAATACACACACACACATACACACACACATACACACACACATACACACACACATACACACACACATACACACACACATACACACACACATACACACACACACACACACACACACACACACACACACACACACACACCACACACACACACACACACACACACACACACACACACACACATATATTGTATGTATATATATATATATATATATATATATATATATATATATATATATAATATATATATATATATATATATATATATATATATATATATATATATATATATATATATATATATATATATATATATATATATATATATATATCATATATATGAACCGTATTCATGTTGACAAATGTGGAAATGTATGAATGAGAACGAATATCTTCACAATACAAGAGATGTATTTAACCGGTTTCGATTATATCTTCGTCAGAAATACATGTATTTCTGACGAAGATATAATCGAAACCGGTCAAATACATCTCTTGTATTGTGAAGATATTCGTTCTCATTCATACCTTTCCACAATACACACACACACACACACACACATATATATATATATATAATATATATATTATATATATTATATATATATATATATATATATATATATATTATATATATATATATATAATATATTATATATATATATACATACATATATATATATATATATATATATATATA